ATTCATTTCGCAGTTTATGATGCCCTTTTTCGAGTTGTGGAGTACGTTGGTTTGATTGGGTGACCTTGTCGTTTCTCTCACCTTGAGTTGTAGCGAACCTGGGTTGGGTCGGTGACACTTTGGTGGGGTTTTCTGGGAAGGGGAGAGGGGAAATGAAACTGGTGGTAAACATGAACTAGATATTTAACACAACAAGGTAAAAAGTAACCAGCGCTTATATGTCCAATTAACAGTATACCATATGGTGAATAAATTTGATATAGCTGCTAAGACATCCAAATGACTCCTTACAATGTCACAGATATAAAATGATAAAAATATAAGAATGTAGCGCTTATATAAAAAAATAATAATAGATCACCTTGTAAAGCTGTTTAGTGGAGGATTTTCCTAACAGGCCCAACAAATGGATGCCTATAAAAGATATTTAAGCATAGTGCAGATCATACATTATAAAATGATACAAAAGATCTTATTTTGTTTGCACTTACAAACGTGGAGCTATAGACCCAGCTCTGGTTTAATTAGCCTCTGAGTCCGTTTAGGCGACCCACCCCTATTCTCAATATCTTTCTTGTTCTATAAGAGAAGAGAGGGGGCACAACCGATTGCGCAGTATTGCAGAAATATGTGTGGAATATAAAACAATATAATCCCAAATGAATACTCACAAATATGGAGTCATGAAGTAATGAGTAAATTTTCCAGCGCTGTGCAGACTAAGGGCTGCACTCCCTCTTGTATAGAATAATACTTGGAACTAGGATCAGTAAAAATAAAAAATAAATGTATTTATACAAATATGAATACAAATAAAAAAAGCCTCTATGTGCTAAAAAGATCCTGCTTCGCTCAGCAGAAGGAAGAGGCTCACCTACTGGAGCCTGGGCATAGGTCCAGGGTGGATAGCAGACTGCGAGATCCCAGCCCAGCAGTGGCGGTTCGTGGAGTCTGCAGTACTTATGGTGTCTACGCAGTGTTTATGGTGTCTATGGTGTTGATGGTCCTTTGGTGAGTGCTAGGAGCATCCTTTCTATGGTCCAACTTCCAGCCAGCCTGGAGG